TTTTTATATAAAATATTGTGATTTATTAACCAATTCAAAGCTTCAGCAATCTTATTTTTTCTCACACGTAATACTTTTTTTAATTGTAATTCTGATAGTTGACCTTGACCAACGAATACGACTTTTAGATGATCACACAAACAATACATAGGCAAAGGCAAAATAGTAGTAAGCGATGTTGGATTTTGCGTAAAAGTAATCATATGGCCTTTTAACTTGTGATGTGTATGTCATCAATTGGTAAGTTGAACAAGATTTATACATATATATCCTGAAGAAATTAGAAGCTGCTCTGGGATTGTTAATTCCTGAAGACACAAAGGAGTTGGACCAATCCACATATTTGCTAGACAGAATAATGAGGTTTTACCAACATCTAAAGATCATTTACAACCATAACATACTTGAAGGTCATATGGATCTTTACTATTAAGTTCACTTCGTCTGATAAACCTATTCCTATCTAATAAAATTTTACATCCACTTTTGTCAATACATGGATGTTCATACATATAGTTGATCTCAAAAAATGATTTCTTAAATTCTTTATTTACTTTAAGCAATGATAGGTTTATCTTTCCTACAGTAATTTTTGTCCAACGTTCAGATGAAAACATTCTAGAACAAACTGCACAAGGTAATTCTTTAAGTGAAACATAACTAGTATTTTCACAGAATTTAGCTAACGCATTATTTGCAATGATCTTGTTAATTGGTTGTAGCTAATTGGCATATTGTTCTTTTAATAAGTCAAAACTATTGTCCATTTTCAAGATACGTAATGGAACACCCACTTCCCTTGCATAATTATCTTTTTCTATAAAAATTTTTTGTCTTTTAGCATGATGTTTTTCATGTTTAACAGCATTCCGTCGGTTATCTTTTAATTTTTTTAAGTCAACCATAATATATATTTAAATAATAAATTTTCTTTTGATAATAGTAAATAAATCATAAAAGATTTATATTTACATGTATAATAGGTTAATTAGTGCAGGCAATATCTACAAGAATTTTAATAAAAGTTTTATATAATACTAAGCAACTGTTTTTTTTATTCTTTTTCATGCAAAAATTTATTACATTTTACGGCTAAATTATATGAATATATTCATTTTGCTGTAAAAATCGAAACTTGATGACAATATTTATTTTACTATAAAAATAATTGATTATATTATTTCTTTCTTGGTGCGAAACATCAATATCTTAATACTGAATTACGATATTTTCCTAATTACTACCAGTTTGATGATGTTCCAAGCATTTAATTTCAAGTAATATGTGATCACAACGATACTATTTCTTTAAAAAATATCTGCATTAAAACAAGTCAGCTTAAAATACTTCATAACTAACCCATAAAAAGCTAAATAACAAATTGTAAATAAACTTCATTGATAAACTCCCAACATACACATATTGATTTATAAATATTTATTTTTGTATAAAAATTGACGACGATATATATATATATATTTTTTAGTGCAAAACTCAATAACCATATTTTTCCTACTCTTAATATTGAAGTATGACATTTTTGAATATCAGTTTGATGATCTTCCAAGCACTTAATTTCAAATAATATGCGATTACAATGATAACATTTCTTTAAAAAATACCTGCATTAAAACAAGATAACTTAAAATATTTCACGACTAATCTATAAAAGGCTAAATAATAAATCGTATAAATAAACTTTATAAACTTCCAATATTAATTTATTTATACATATTTATTTTGGTGCATAAATCATTTACATTTTTTTGGTTGTAAATCGATTTTTACTCGATAATCTAAACATAAAAATTAATTATTACACATTTTTATTCTTTTTTAGTATGAAATTTGATGATGATATTTTTTTTCGTTATAGGCTAACCAATCCTTAAAAGGACATATGATAATCATAATGCATTCCAAGACAAGTAAAATATGATAAGCATAGTAATTACTAAAATAAGAAAAAATATAGGAGACAGAAAAGTTGATTTAAACCATCCTTCATATTTCATATTATCGTACTAGTATTTGAAACTATATACAAAACTATTTTAAAATTAGACAAAATATAATTCTAATAATCTCATACTTTGGAAGCAATAGAAACAAAATTATATATCACAATATAATATAGACCTATCCTGGTATTAGATACCAGCCCAATCTATTTCAGTACAGAAAGTAACTCAAACTATAAACCAATCACCTAACAATAAAGCTATAGAACTATTACTTATTTCTAATGAGATGCTAAAACATATTCACACTCATATCACCAAATTACTAATAATATTATTTAATAAATACTTTGAGATCTCAGATATTTCTACTATATAAAAACACAGTAAGATATATCTTATATTTAAAAAACCTATATTCACTAGCCAATTAAACCATACCAGACCCATAATACTTATAGAATATATACAAAAAATTTTTACAAAAATTATTACAAACTGGTTTAGCCAAATTATAATATGTTATCCAATACTTCACCCAAACAACTTTGTAGCAACCTTATACAATTCTACAACACAACCAATTCACATTTTTACAAATATTTTACAAGAAGCTCAAACCTATAACAAAGAGATCTAGCTCCTTTTACAGGATATGAGTAAGATATATAACTTAGTACACCTACTCCTACTTAAGTATGTATTAAATTAGTTACAAATTCTAAACAAAATATAATATCTACTTATTAATATTTGCACAGATTGTCAAAACTCTGTCATAAAAATCTTGGGCCAACTCTACTCTATCTAGTATATGATAAGATTAACCAAGATAAAACTATTACACCTCTTCTCTGGCACATCTACTATAACTACTTATCACTACTATATACTCTAAATTTTAAAGCTATATCATGACCACACAACCTTTAAACTACAACCCAATAATATACTATACCTTTGTGCTAGTTTATATAGATAATACTCTATAGCTAGCCTCTAATAAAGAGATACTTCAAACAATTGTTAATTGTATCTTTTTTTTTTACAATATGGCACATATCAATATCAATCTTACTATCAATCTTACAAAATCAGTTCTTGCTACCAACTGCATCAAAGATCCAAACCTCTTTATTATCTTTGCCAATACAAATATTCCTAGCATACTACTTAAAGAAACTTTTTGATATTTGGGGTGCTAGTTTACAGTATCTATAAACAAATTACTAAAGAGGCTACCAACCTTATTAATATATTAAAAAGAAAAAGATTACAGAAAAACAAGCAATTTATATAATAAATATAGTACTTATACTCTGATTCTCTTACTAAATATTTAATATATAAGGGAGGCATGCCTAATTTGTCACAATGCCTAATTTGACACACGACGATATCTCGAGAACTATCAAACAGAATCGCATGATTCTCATACCATTCGATTCGTCTCATCGAGACGAATCGAACA